AAAAAAAAAACCTAAAGCACAAAAGGACTGAGGATGTGGCTCAAGTGGTAAAGAGGATGCCTAGCAAACACAAGACCCTAAGTTCAAACCCCAGTACCACAAAAAGAAAAATATGATTTGTATTGATTGAGTGATTAGGGGCACCAGTCCCTAAATTTACTACCCAAAGCCAATGCCTCACCAGCCCTATGAGATTTGGAGGTTTACTGTTACCCACAGTCCCTGTTTCACCCTCTCCAAGGTCAGAACTGAGAACTGTGCAGCCCCGAGGCCCCAAGGCCAGCTATACTCCATCCCTTCCCCTCCAGTTACCAGTAGCAACCAGCTTCAGTAGGTCACTGGGCGGGGACCACCGGGTTCCATTCTGATAGGAGCAGCGGTAGCGACCAGCATGATTTGTTTTCATGACCGGGATGAAGAGAAAGTCCTGATCCTCATACCTCCCAGACTCCAGTTTCTCCAGGCGGTACAAGTCCACACCTGGAGGACCCTGGCACCGAATGGTCACTGACTTATCCAGGGGTACCAGGGAACTTGGCAGAGCACGGAGGGAAGGCTTGGGGAGTGGGCCTAGAAGGGAAACACAGTCTCAAGTTCAGCTGCCAGCAAACAGTTGGCTGAATCCAGAGAGGCCATCAGGGAGCTGGGGAGAAGCCCCAGGCAGTGGGGGAGAAGGACTCACCACTCTGTGCTGGAATCACCTGTCCTAGACACAGCCCTGAGGAAAAAAGAAAAGAACCAGATGCTAGAGCCTCCTTGAGTGGACACCTCCAGTGTGTTGAGCACTGGAACGTTTGTTTGCATTGGCCTTTTATCTCTGTTCTTTTACTTTTTGCAGAGGTACTTATGCACATAATCTAAGTGAAAGGAGGCAAGTCGCACAAGGCACACATCATACAGATTTTCTATTCGTGTACATTAATTGCCATTTATATGAACTGTCCAGAAGTAGCAAAGCCACAGGAACAGAATGCAGACCAGTGGTTCCTAAAAACTGGGGGAGGAAGGATGAGGAGTGACTGCTCAGTGAGTATGGGGCTCCTTTCAATTCATGAAAGTGTCTTAGAACCCAGCTAGAGGTGCTGGTTGCACAACATTGTGAATGTATTAAATGTCACCAATGGTAAATCTTATGTTATGTGTATTTTACTGCAATAAAAAAACCTAAATCAAACAGGGATCCCTTCCCCCACTCCATCTAACACCTAACTGCCCCTCCCTAGTGCACATACTCTTCACTGGTTTATCTTTTACTTCAGATGTTTTTGCAAGAATATGACATGATACTTGCAGGAAAATGGATGAAACTGGATGTCATCGTGCTGAGTGAGATAAACCAAGCTCAGTGGAATCTAGACTTAAAATGATGATGGTGGTGATGGTGGTGGTGGTGATGATGATGGTGGGACATGAAGGTAAAAGGGGGACAGTCTGAGGGGAGATCATTGGGAAGCATAGGGGAAAAGGAAAGGATACTGAGGGGAAAGATGACCAAACTATACTGCATAATACCTATGAGGACAGCATAATGAAACCCACAAAACATTGTATGAAAAGGGGAGGAAGAGAAGGAGGGAGTAAAAGAAATATAATGGTAGGGGTAAACTTGTTCAAATTACACTACACACATGTGTGGAATTACCATAAAGAGACCATTGTATTATTAAGGTATACTAATTTAAAAGATAATAAAACTATTTAATAATGTGACATAATTGTGAAGGGGGGACTGTTTGGGGAGAAGCCAGCTGGAGAGGGAGGCAGAAAGGAGAGGGTGAATAGAATCTAAGTTATATATCTATGAAAATAATGTAATGAATCCCACTAAATGGTGTTAAAGGGTGGGAGGACAGAGGGATTAGAAAGAGTAATAGGAGGTGAATTTGATCAAAGTATGTTACATGCAAATATGGAAATATCACAGTGAAACCCGTTTGTGCATTAATATACACTAATAAAAATAAAGATACATCTTACAGTTTTCTGTGCTGCTATCTGTGCATGCATTAGCTTTTGATGTTACACATTGACTCAGTAATTGGAGGTGAGGATTTGGATTTATGGGTGTGGACTTTGAGCCACCATAATTCTATGCAGGTACAAGATCTAGCCTCAGCTATATACAGCCATAGGACTGTATCTCATCCACAGTCCTATAGCTGGGAGGTGAGAGATCCAAATACTAGCTGCGTGGTTTAGTGGTAAGGAATGTGGACTTGGGAACTCATGGAAGCACAGGGTAGAACGGTGGTTTCCAGGATTGGAGCCCTGGTGTCATGGAAGAAAATTGGGGTCCACACTACGACACCTATGTGCATGTCCTGACTAAACACAAATTAACCAGAATAACTCAGACAAAATGCACCACCTCCCTGGGCCCCAAATTTTCCACTCAACAAATGAGGGGCTCCCATAGGACCCCTCTTGCCCTGAAAGTCACCACTGATGCAATTTTTAAAACTTCTTTGTGTAGAACACAGTGCCCGTCTTGTAGCATTACTCCCCTCCACCCTCAAGACTCACCAAGACAGAAGAGGGCAGCTGGGGATGGAGACATGGTTGCTTGGCCCAGTCCTGAGCTCTGTGGCCCAAGGAGGGAAGTCATGGGAGCCTGGGGCAAGGGATAGGATGTGATGGGGAAGAAGAATGCCCTCCTCTCTTCCTCCAGCAGCCCCAGCTCCTCCTAATTGAGACTCGTCAAGCTGGAGCTTTCTCGTCAACAGGATGACTTGCACACAAGCTCCAAGGGGTGTCACTTATCTCCTCTGGCCAGTCTGGTGTCTCACCATCCTTCTGTCTACTGGGTCATAGTCTGTGACCTGTACTCCCATAAAACTCTCCAGGAGGCACTAGGGAAATGCAAATCCAACTGCAATGAAATCTCACTTCACACATACTAGGATGGCTATAGTTTTTTTTAAAAAATTAAAAATAACAAATATTAGTAAGGATGTGGAGAAGATGGATCCCTGGTGATGCAGTGGTCTCGTCTCAGGTGTGCTGTCTTGTGTGATCAAAGAATGAAAGTTGAGAACAACAGGATGAGCAAAAGAGCAGAGTTTAATTTAGGTGGGAAAACAAAACTAAGTTTTATTTAAGCAAAGAGGGAAAGAGTAGAAAAGCTCCTATATACATGGGATGGTCTCAGAAAGACTGAGCCATTTGAGCTCCTTTGTCCTGTTTTTTTTTGTGGGGGGATGTACTAGGGTTTGAAGTCAGGGCCTCATGCTTGCTAGGTAGACTCTCTTACCACTTGAGCCACTCTACAAACTGCCTTGGGGTTTTTATAAGGATTTTATTTCCTGGTTGAAGGTAAGCTGGTTGTGTCTCTGTACTATTGGTCCATTCATGGAATGGACATTATGCCAGCCCATGAACATCACAGAATGGGTTGTGAATGCTCCCTTTCTTTCCTGATTGGCTCTGAGGTCCAGAGCACCAACAGAGCATCCTGTCAGGACGTTGTTCATATGTTGTTTATATGCCTCAGCAGTTTCAAGACTTGTACAAGCGGTTTCAAGATTCCCCACTTCCCACACCTGTTTATCTCATCTCCTAGGTTTGAAACAGCTCTAGGGTCTCCTACATTCTGTTCTTCTCAAGGCTTCTCCTCTCAGCACCTCCATCGAGGGTCCCCACCCTAATCTTCCCTGACCAGTCTCTAACTCCTGGCTTCTAGCCTCACTTGAACATGGTAGTCAGAATCGTTCATTATATGATTCAGCCATTCCATTTCTGGGTATATACCTAAAAGAATAGAAAGTAGGACCTCAAGTAGATATTTGTACATCCATGTTCAATGCAGCATTGTTCACAATGGGCAAAAGGGGGATATTGTTTATCAAGAATAAAAAATACATAGTGCATATGTGTGTAATGGAATATTATTTAGTGTCTAAGAAAAACAGGAAGTTCTCGTGCGTGTTTCAACTTATTCCTCCTATCTGTGTGTGGGTTGTATGTATATATTTATTTTGACTTCAAGAAAAGAATAAATCTTGGGTTGGTGAAGTGGCTCAAGTGGTAGGTCACCCACCTAGCAAGCATGAGGCCCTAAGTTCAAACCCCAGTGCCACCAAAAAAAAAAAGTGAATCTTTAAGAAAAGAGTGAAATCCCAATGTATGTTGTAATTTATTCCTCCTATGTAACCAGAAATTCTAGTTTTAATTTTAGAGGAAGCACCATAGTGTTTTCTACAGCACCTGTGCCACCTACAATCCTACCAACAGGGAAACGTGTGGTATGTCTTTTAAGGGACAAGAAAAAGGTGCAGAGACAGAATAGGATCGATGTGATCTAGTGGGCCTCCTTGATAGGATGGCTTCACCTTTCTATGGAGTAGTTATGCTTGAGGTTCCACCCAATATAAGAAATAATCATCAGGGCACTGGTGGCTCACGTCTGTAATCCTAGCTACTCAAGAGGCAGAGATCAAGATGATCGGAGTTCAAAGCCAGCCAGGGCAAATACTTTGCTAGACCCTATCTCAAAAAAAAAAACCATCACAAAAAAAGGTTGTGGAATGGCTCAAGGTGTAGACCCTGAGTTCAAACCCCAGTGCTGCAAAAGAAAGGAAGAATCAGAGAGGAAGGAAAGCATGTTTGCTGCCCAGCAGCCTTGGTGATGACTGTTTTCATGTAGCTGGAAAGCAATTCGTGTGACTGGAATTAAAGGAGCACAAAGATGGAGATTGAAGAAATTACAAGGGTAGGATCAGGGTGTCTTAACCCTATGTCTGTTGACTTTGGGGAGTGGGCAAGTCTTTGTTGGGGTCAGGAGGAAATAACTGTGTGTATGATAAGATGATTAGCTACATCCTCAGTCTTCACCACTATACGTCACCAGCATAATGTGACAACCAAAATTGTCACTCATGTTGCTCCAGGAGGGAAGGAGTGTGTGTGCAAAATCTCAACTCAATGAGAAGCAGTGTGTTAAATCACTCAGGGACTTGGAGCCTACTTTGTGAAGTCCTCTCTTTTTGGAAACCTGCTTCCTTTACCCCCATACCAGAGAAGGTCTCTCCTGTGTATTTCTGCACCATCTTTGAGTATCTTAATCCCTGCAGTTTTTTACTTGGTTGTTGTGTTGTTGTTGAGTTTTAGGACAACCTTTATCAGCATTAGTCAGATTACTAATGAGACAAAACAACACATTGTGTAAAGTATTAATGAGACAGTGACCTTGGGAAGGACATCAGTCTGGGTAGTCCAGATGGGAATGAAGAGCAACTACATGCATTCCTTTCTCTGGACTTGTAAGATTGTAGATGCTGAGGGTGAGAAACAAACAGCTTGAGTGGGCAAGGTTTTGGATCCTGGCGTCCTCCAGGGGGAGGCCGAGCATGGACCATTTGATAGAGTGCAGTGTAGTCTATGAAGTGAGCCCAGTGTGGCACCTGGAATTTCCCCCTTATGTGACTTGCTGCCTCCAACTCCCTAAGCCAAGACCTCTGTCATGGTGCCTCAGAACATGCTGAAACTCTTCTTCCCAGGACACACCCCAGCTGCAGTTTTGGTTTAGTTTTGTGATGGTGTGACACACGTCTGTGTTCCTACAAACCCACAGGGGCACAAACTAAGCAGGGTTTTGGTCAGTTATATATTCCCATCTAGGTAGACGGTGAGCATACATTGAACATATGTTAGATGAAGAGCCAGCAAGATCTCAGCAGTAGGCTCCTCACAGAACAGGACTCAACCTTACTGATTTCTGGATGCCCTAAACCAAGCAGCACATCCTGGGTGACAACCAAGCCAGCTGTCCTCATGGAAAGTGTCTACTGGTGATTGGGGGAGAGGGTGGGTTTGCATCAGAATGATGTCTGTGTGTGTATTTGGTGGTAGTATTGGAGTCTGAACTCAGGACCTTGTGCTTGCACCCTACCAATTGAGCCATGCCTCCAGTCATTTTTGCTTTTAGGTTGTTTTTAGACGGGGTCTCACTTTTTGTGAGGGCTGGCCTGGGATTGCATAGGAAGGATCTTGACACATCCTTCCTATGCCTCATGGATAGGTGAGAGCTTAAGCATGTACCACCATACCTGGCTTGTTTGTTGTTCTGTTTGTCCAGGCTGGTGTTGTACCTTGATCTTTCTGATCTTTGCCTCCTGAATAGCTGGGATTATAGGTGTGGATGTGATTCACTGTGCCTGGCTATTTTTGGAGCTTTTTTTTATGTGTTTGTGTCTTTTTTTGTTTTTTTGAGACAGTCTTCCTATGTATCTCGGGTTGGCCTTGAAGTGGTGATTCTCACGCCTCCACCTCCCAAGTGTTAGGACTATAGGTGTGTGCCACCATGACTTGGGAAGGGCTGTACTGAGGTTTGAATGCAGGGCCTCAGACTTGATAAGCAGGCATTCTACCACTTAAGCCACAGCCCCAGCCCTAGGATGACTTTTGACGACTGAGTACTCAAGGATATAGTCACAGGAACAGAAAAATCTTGCACTTGTGGAGTGTACACCATGGAAGGTATGCTAGAGAATGTATGTCTTCTGCATCTGTGCAACAAATGGTGTAAATATAACAAGTTTATTATGTGAGTGTCACAGTGCGAATCTATGCAAACCTACATGGTAGAGACCAGTCACTCAACATGGCCTCTTTTTTCATGGTACTGGAGTTTGAATTCAGGGCCTCAAGCCTGCTAGGCAGGTGTTCTACCACTTGAACCACTCTGCCAGCCCAGGAATGGGATTTGAACTCAGCACTTCATATTTGCTCCAATCTTCAATATGACCTCTTTTTTTTCCTTTTCTTTTTTTTTCTTTTATTATTCATATGTACATACAAGGCTTGGGTCATTTCTCCCCCCTGCCCCCACCCCCTCCCTTCCCACCCACTCCACCCCCTCCCTCTCCCCCCACCCCAATACCCAGCAGAAACTATTTTGCCTTTATTTCTAATTTTGTTGTAGAGAGAGTATAAGCAATAATAGGAAGGAACAAGGGGTTTTGCTGGT